CCACAAAAACTAGAGGAGGCCGCTGCCTTGAACCCCCGCGCTAGCGAGACCGGCGAAGAGGTGGGAGACGCCGCTGTGCAGGAGGCTGACCAAGCCCAAAGGACACTCGTTGTAGCGCCCTTCGCAGTCCCCCTCGCGACGCCCCTTCTCCTCCGCCACCACGTACTCGTGCATGGATTCTGATCCCTCGCCGTAGCCAGCCCTGAGGAGAAGGATTGACATGATGTTGAGAGAGAGGGAGGGAGGGAGGGAGAGGGAGAGAGAGAGGAGAGGAGAGGAGAAGAGAGAGAGTGGAGCGGGAAAGGGAGGGAGGGAAGGAGAGAGGGATAGAGAGAGACAGAAAGACAGACAGGTAAACAGAAAGACAGACAAATAACCAAACAGACAAACATAAACAGACAGACATGATCAACTCACGCAAAGATCAAGTTGAGGATTTCCCCGACGACGCCCAGGTCAGTCACGGGCTCCTTGGCGACCTCACACACAGCTCTCAGGAGACACGACTTCCCAGGCAAACCCATGCTATAGAAACGGCAAAAAAGAATACATCAGTTAGCAATCACGTCGTCGTCATGCAACCGTATTTACCAAAATACCGTCCTTTTCTTCCCTTCGTATTTACAAAACAAGAGATAATACCCGTGCTTACTTCTCCAGTCCATTCTGAATGACGTTGAACCCGGCTTCTCGCTGAGAATCGACCGACCGCTTGCCAAACCCTCCATAATGACTATCATCTCCATAGTGATGATTGAACTGCTCATACCCGCCGTAACTAGAGTAACTGCTTCCTGTCCCGTAACCGAAGTCGTTACTGCCACTGCTGCCGTAGTCGTATCGCGTATCGGCTGTGCTCGCGTAGCTGCCGTAGCCATGAGGGGCGTCCGTGGTGGGCTCTTGGCTCTTGATCAGCCGAAGAGGCGCGTCGGGGAGGTCGAGGGTGAAGGGGAAGCCGATGTACATCTTGACGGCTGAGGGGGGAGGGGGGGGTGTGAAGGTGGTGTTATCATTACTTTTGTTATTACTGTTATCATTGGTTAAGGAGTATCACTATAATCATTATCGCAATCAGAGGAGTAGGGTGGTACTATTATCATCATTATCGTTTTTTTTATTAGTAGTAGTATCATCATTATTATGATTATTATCCTTATCATTACCATAATTATCATTATCACTGTTACCATCATCGTTATTATTATCTTTATCATTGCTATTATCATTATGATCTTTATCATCATTATAATCGTCATCATTACCATTATTATTAACATTATCATATCATTATCATTACTAAAATTATAATCATAATAATCACCATTATCTTTATTTCTATTGTTTCATCATCATTATCATTATTCTTTATTTTCATTATTTTTGTTATCATTATTATTATCATTAACATCATCATTATTAACATCATTATCATTATATCATGTAATAATGATAATGATAACACATGATAATAACACTGATAATTATGATGATAATAACAATGATAGTAATGATGTTGATACTATCATTAACAACATCAGCATCATCAGCAATAAAATAATGACTAATGATAATAATAAAATGATAGTAATAATATTAATTAATAAAAATATTATTAATGAATGATAATAATGATAATGATAATAATAATCATCATCATCATCATTATTATTATTATTATTATTATTATTATTATTATTATTATTATTATTATTATTATTATTATTATTATTATTATTATTATTATTATTATTATTATTATTATTATCATTATCATTATAAAAATACTACTACTTATTATCATTACCACTATCATCATAAAAGTATTATTATTATTATTATTATTATTATTATTATTATTATTATTATTATTATTATTATTATTATTATTATTATTTTCTGTCTCTTTCTTGTTCTTTCTACCTCTCCTTCTTCTCTGTCTGCCTCTCCTTCTCTTATTCTGTCTGCCTCTCCTTCTCTTATTCTGTCTGCCTCTCCTTGTCTTATTCTGTTATCTCTCCTTCTCTTATTCTGTCTGCCTCCCTCTCCCTCTACCTTTTCTTCTCTCTCCCTCTGTCTGCCTTCCTGTCTCTCTGTCCCTTACCCTCTCCCTTTCTCTGTCTGCCTTCCTGTCTCTTATTCTGTCTGCCTCCCTCATCTCCCTCCTTTATTTCTCTCTCCCTCTGTCTGCCTTCCTGTCTCTCTGTCCCTTACCCTCTCCCTCTCTCTGTCTGCCACTTACTCTGATAATCGTCGCTGGCCACCGGGATGGAGAAGGCTGAAGTGACGGTAAGGGTGCTGCCACTTGGCCACGCGAGGAAACGCCGCTGCCGACTCAACACCTGCAGGATACACGAGAAGGAGGGAGGGGGAGGGAGGTTAGTGCGTGAATGGGGAGGGTTGGGTGTGTGTGTGGCGGGTGTAGGGGGGTTGTGGGTGTGTTGGTGAGGTGTAATAATAGTGATAATAGTTTGTTTGTTTTGAATTTGGCTTTTCAGTTCTTTGATTTCTTCTGTTTGTTTGTATTCGTCGTTCTCTCTGTCTGTCTGTCTATCTATCTATTTAACGGTCTATCTATCTATTTGTCTGTCTGTGATACACCGCGGGCGTCAATTGGAGGAATCTTTCCCCAAGCTTTCTAGGGGATCTAAAAGAATTAAGGATAATGCGGATATATATTTCAACCCCGTAGTGTGTGTATGTGCGAAGGGGGAGAGCAACAGGAGCCATGACGCCTAAATTTTGGATTAACCCATAAATGACCGCGCCTCTCTCTCTCTCTCTCTCTCTCCCTCTCTCTCTCTCTCTCTCTCTCTCTCTCTCTCTCTCTCTCTCTCTCTCTCTCTCTCTCTCTCTCTCTCTCTCTCACACACACACACACACACACACACACACACACACACACACACACACACACACACACACACACACACACACACACACACATACACTTCTTACACCTTAGCAAAGACAGATCATTAAGGGAGTTTTGATACATTCTAGAAAAAATCTTCACAACCTTTATAGAGAGCCACCTAGAAATACCTTGCTCCACCCTAGGAAATGTGGAATGACGCTCCTGGAAACACGCACAGACAGCGAGAAGAAGGTTAGGGAGTAAAAGAGAAAGGGAGACAAAGAGGAAAATAATAATGAAAAAAGCTTCGAAGAGAAAAACAAGACAAAGTGAAGGAAAAGGGATACATTAGAGAAGAAAAACTGAAAGAGACGAAAGAAAAAAAAAAGGAAGCCGCTCCACAGACAGACCTTGAGGTTCCTTGGGTGGATTTTCTGGAGCGATTCGGGGAGCAGGTCGCCCACGTCTCCTTTGGGGATCCTTTGGCGACACTCCCTTTGCTTGAAGTTCACGAGGTTCTCCAGCTCCTTCCCTGACACCAGCGTTGACAGCAAGAGAGCTCCTGCCAGCAGCCGCACTGCTCGCCATGACGGAGACATCTTTTGGGACCACTGAGGGAAAGGAAATTTCAAAGCATGGACTTTTGTCTAATGAAGGCATGTAATTAGACTGATGATACTGATACACACTTAAAAATTACCGGATATTTATCTAAAGAGAACTACTGGGAGGTACTGCAGTGTTTTAATATCATTAGCTTTTAATCACCAGTACCTCCCATCATAGAGTCATCCACGGATTAGCAAACACAAGAATATTATTAAACTAAATAAGAATAATAGAATATTACAACAAAGAAGATATGGAAATCTTTATGCATTTGAGTCGACTATTTTAAATTGAAATTGTCGTTGCACGGCAGTAAATTTGTGTTCCCGATTTCCAGATTTTTTACACGAGCGACCCCTTCCTCAAACCTTCGACCGATTCGATTTTTAGGCTAGAGCAAAAATATTCAGTGATCTGTACAAGCTGCACTCATCTAAATACAATACAATATTCCTTGAAGTCTTCACAGTATTACCTTAACATGAAGACTGGCGAACGACTAAAGGCCCTATCACACTATCACTTTTTCCGTCATTTTTTTTGCTTTTCCGAATGTACTTTCCGTATGAAAGTCGACTGACCCATGTAAACAAACATGGCGCTATTGGAGCGAGGTCCCGGGAATCACACGAACGTTCTCATAAATATTACGTTATTTTAAAGAAATATGATGATGTATATTTCATATGCGAATGTTCTAAAATATTAGCTTATGTTTACATTCACTCATCCTATCTAATTTATTTACAGCACAAGATAAGGCGGAAATTAGTCAGACGGAAACGGTCATAACCGTCATCGTCTGGCGTTCCGGAGAGCCTAGAATTCAGACGGAAACGCAAAATCTGACGGAAAAAGTGCTAGTGTGATAGGGCGTTCATAGACTGACCAAAACTTTTCCGCCAATAGCTTCCCGACCCCCCTGCCAGCCCTCCACGACCTAAACAAAATATCTGTTTCACTCTACGGGCGAGTTAATAGTCCGACATCCCTACGACTAACAATACATAATAATTACCAAAGCCTATTTTGCCAGTATATGGGTTTGCTAAATATCCAAATGGGCACAATCCCATATGACAGACAAAACCGCATATGTGTCGCAGTTAAGAGGAACACCCATCCGGAAACCCATACGTGGTTTTCTTTCTCTCCCTTTGTGGTTTTGTTGCAATTATCTCCCATATGCTTATGACTTCGCCCTCGACTGAGTGAATATCAAATGATTACACCTGGATTTATTTCCAAATGGTAGAATATTTAAGTTCACAATAGATATTTGTAAATGCAGAATTGTGCGAGGCTCGATCTAATGAATATTCGTACATAAAACAATATATATATATATATATATATATATATATATATATATATATATATATATAATATATATATATATATATATATATATATATATATATATACAGAAATAAATGCATGTCTGTCTATCTAACAGATATAAACATTGATCTATCTATAATATATATATGCATGTCTAGATGATAGATATGTATTTATTTCAATGTATTGCATGTCC